AGGCCACGGGTCCGGGGGCTGCTCCGGGCCGCTTCCTGCCCGCTGCGCTGCTGTTGGGCTGCCGGGGGTGGCCCTTTGTGACACGGGCGCGTGGGGTCAGGGCCCTCTGTGATGCGGGACACGGTGGTGGCCAGAGAGCCTTGTGACATCCGGGAGCCCCAGCCTGGCTGAGGGTATCCAAGGGGCGCAGAGCCCTGGGGTGCCCAGTCCCAGGAGAGCTGCTCTCTCAGGAGGAAGCAGCTCCTTGCGTCTGTCTGTGCTAGATGCTGACAGTGATAGACGCTGATAGTGACAGATGCCAACAGCAACAAGGACAAAGCCAGCCCCAACTCCTGGTCCCCCAGCCCTTTGCCCAGCTGGCTGGAAGCCCCCAGCAGGCAGTGGTCAGGGGCAGTGGTCAGGTCAGTCCTGCCATTGACAGGGACTGAGGAGGAGGAGAAGCTCTTCACCAATATGGACCGAGAGCTTTCCCAGATGGAAAGTGATAGTGATGAGGAGCTTTCCCAGAGGGAAGAGATGACAGCGAGAAACAGGTACCAACAGCAAGTAATGACAGTCCAAGAAATTTCCCAGTGGGAAGCCAGGAGGAGCCAAGAGTTCTACCAATGCCAGGTACATGTGAGAGTTCAAGAGGTTTCCCAGTACTGCAGTGAGACACACCAAGAGCTCTGTGAATGGGAAGAAACTACAAGAGTCCAAGAGCTGCACCAGTGGGAAGAGGATGGTGAGATATACCAAGAGGTGCTCCAATGGGAAGAATGTGTCACAACCCAAGAGATACTCCAATTGGAAATAGATATGAGTGAGCAGCAGGAGTTGGAATGGGAAGAAGACGAGAGATCCCATGAGCTGTCCTTACGGAGACATGCGAGTGTCCCAGAGGATTCCCAACGGGACGACATCCAAGAGCTGGACCAGAGGGAAGGTGGGAGGTACCAAGATATCTCATCTTGGGAAGATGTGCGCTCCCACACCTCTCAATGGGACAATGCCCAGGAGATGTCCCAGAGGGCAGATGAGAGGCAGCAAGACCTCTCACCGAGGGAAAATGTGCACTCCCACATTTCTCGGGATGATATCCAAGAGCCATCTCAAAGGGAAGGTGAGAGGTATGAAAAACTATCACCATCGGAACAAGAAGTGCGCTCCCATGACTCCCAGCTGAAAGACAGCAGAGAAGCAGAATTGTCCAAAGTGAGAGACAGCAATGTCAATAAGCTGTCAAAAAGACCAGACGCCGGATGTCAAGAGTTGCCCCAAGGGGCAGATATGAGTGACAGAAAACTGTCCACACAGGAGGAGCGTGAGAGCAGCCAGGAGCTGTCCCAATCGAGACATGACATCAGCTCCAAGATCCAGGAGAGACCCTTGCAACCACTGAGGAGCAAGGAGGCTGAGCCTTGTCCCCTGGTGGGGACAAGCTCTCCCAGCCCTGAGGGCACAGGGCTGGCTGCCGAGGCAGCACCTGCCCTGCCCAGCACCTCTCCTGTCCTGGGCAGTGCCTTGGAGGCCAAGCTAATAGGTGCTGCCCTGTCCAGAGCTGATGAGGAGAAAGAGCTGCCTGAGCCTCTCACTCCAGAAGAGGTAAATACAGCAGCTTCTGTTGTCAGTGAAGAGGTGCCATCAGCAGGGACACAGAGCCCACCCTGTGTCCCCTTCGACAGCATGACCAGCAGCCATGCTTCAGCAGGCCAGGATCAGAACATCACAGAAGAGTCCGTGATCCTGGAAGTGATGGAGATGTACAAACTGAGACAGAAACTGGAGGGAGAGTATAACGTCCAACAGTGGATGGCTGTGGAAGAAACACAGCCGAGTTCACCCAGCCCTGTGACTGTGGAGGTGGAAATAGAGACATCACCTGACCTACCTAGTGCCTCTCCTGTCCTGGGCAGTCCCATCCACCTGATAGAAGAGAAAGTGAGGCATAAGCTAGAAGTAGATTATGAAGTTCAACAATGGATGGCTGCAGAAGAAACACAGCCAAGGACTCCCAGCCCTGAGGGCACAGAAGTGGCAGCAGAGGCAGTGCTTGCCCTGCCCATCATCTCCCCTGTCCCTGGCAGCACCATGGAGGCCAAGCCAGCAGCTGCTGCCCTGTTCAGAACTGATGAGGAGGAACTGCCTGAGCCTCTCACTGCAGAGGAGGTAAATGAAGCAACTCCTGTTATCAGTGAGAAGGTGCCATCAGCAGAGACACAGAGCCCACCCTGTGTCCCCTCTGACACCCCAACCAGCAGCCAGGCTTCAGATTGGCAGGATCAGAACATCACCGACCAGCTCCTGGTCCTGGAACTAGTGGAGGTGTACGAATTCTGGCAGAAGCTGGAAGGAGAGTATAACCTCCAACAATGGATGGCTGTGGAAGAAACACAGCCCAGTTCTCACATTCTTGTGGTCACGGACGTGGTAGTAGAGGCAGTGCCCACCCCGCCTATCACCTCTCCTGACACCAGCAGTTCCTCAGAGGCCAAGCTGGCAGCTGCTGCCCTGTCCAGAGCAGATGAGGTGGAAGAGCTGCTTGAGCTTCTCACTTCAGAGGAAGTAAAGGCAGCAACTCCTTCTGTTATCAGTGAGGAGATGCCATCAGCAGGGACACAGAGCCCACCCTGTGTCCACTTCGGCACCCCAACCTGCTGCTATTCTTCAGCACGGCAGGATCAGAACATCACCAAGGAGTTCCTGATGGAGGGGCTGGTGTTGTATCATCACCCGAGTCAGAAGCTGGAGGAAGAGTATGATGTCCAACAGTGGATGGCTGTGGAAGAAACACAGCCAAGGTCTCACAGCCCTGGGGTCATGGAGGTGACAACAGAGGCAGTGGCTGCCCTGTCCAAAGTTTATGAGGAGGAACTGCCTGAACTTCTCACTCCAGAGGAGGAAAAGGCAGCAGCTTCTTCTGTTATCAGTGAGGAGCTGCCTTCAGCAGGGACACAGAGCCCACCTTGGGTCCCCTTTGAGACCCTGACCAGCAGCCAGGCCTCAGCATGGCAGGATCAGAACATCACCGAGGAATTCATGAGCTTGGATCTGATGGAGGTGTACAAACAGAGGCAGAAGCTGGAGGGAGAGTATGGCCTCCATCAATGGATGGCTGTGGAAGAAGCACAGCCCAGCTCTCCCAGCTTCAATGGCATAGAGGTGGCAGCAGAGGCAGTTCCTGCCCTGCCCATCTACTCTCCTGTCACAAGCAGTCCCACAGAGGCTGAGCTGGCAGCTGCTGTCCTGTCTAGAGCTGATGGGGTGGAAGAGCTTCCTGAGCTTCTCCCTCCAGAAGAGGTAAATGCAGCAGCTTCTTCTGTTTTCAGTGAGGAGGTGCCATCAGCAGGGACACTGAGACCACCGTGTGTCCTCTTTGACACCATGACCTGCAGCCATTATTCAGCATGGCAGGATCAGAACATCACCGAGGAGATCCTGCTTCTGTCACTGGTCATGTTCCATCACTTGAGGCAGAATCAGGAGGAAGAGTATGACCTCCAAATCCGGGTGGCTGTGGAAGAAACACAGCCCAGTTCCATCAGCCATGTGGCTGTGGATGTAGCAGTAAATGCAGCACCTGCCCTTCCCAGCACCTTTCCTGCCCTGGACAGTGTGATATACTCCGAGCCAGGAGCTGCTGCCCTGTTCAGAACTGATGAGGAGGAAGAGCCACCTGAGCTGTTTGCTCCAGACAAGGTAAAGGCAGCTCCTCCTTCTGCTGTCAGTGAGGTGGTGCTGTCAGCAGGGACACAGAGCTCAGAGTGTTCCCTACAACACCATGGCCTCCAGCCCATCTTCAGCATGCCAGGATCAGAACATCACCGAGGAGATCATGATCCTGGAAATGATAGAGGCCTACAAATTGAGGCAGAAGGTGGAGGAAGAGTACGACATCCAACAATGGATTGCTATGGAAGGAACACAGGCCAGCTCTTCTGGCCATGTGGCCATGTAAGTGGCAGCACCGGGAACTCTCCTGTCCTGGGCTATCCCACAGAGTCCGAGCCAACAGGTGCTGCCCTGTCTAGATCTGCTGAGGAGGAAGAGGTGTCTGAGCCTCTTACTCCAGAGCAGGTAAAGGAGCTGATGGGAGCTCCTTCTGTTGTCAGTGAGGAGCTGCCATCAGGAGGGACACAGAGCCCACACAGTGTTTTGGGGGCCCAAGGGCCTGTGGTTAAAAAATCCATACCCCCATTTTGGAAAGGAAGCAACAAATAGCCCCTCCTGAGGTGGGGTGAGAGAATGCCTCTCTCCCACAGGTCTTTGCAACTATATGTTAATGCACTTTTAAGCTGATTTCTGCATTGGTTTATCAAGTTGATGTCGCCCCAGTTCAGCCCCCATAACCTTGTATGGTTAATCCCTAGAATCTTCTCTCTTCTCTTGATCCCCATCGGCCTGGGTTTTCCACCCCTGTTTTCCTGTTGGTTGTTCCTGTCCCTAACCCCACCTCTGCACTGTTTTCCCCTGTTCCCACTGGACTCTGGTCCACCCCCTCTTACTCACATATAACCCTGGATCCTCCACCCACTTTCGTTCTTGTCCCTGGACCCCCTTCAAGGCAATAAAGCTTTTGGATATCCAAACAAGGACCTGTCTCATCTTCCATCGTCAACTTTTAGCAGTGCGCTCCAGATCCGAACACACAAGCAGCCTCAGGGACATGGTCATAGTGCATTGCTACACAGTGTCCCCTCCAACACCCCGAGCAGCAGCCAGTCTTCACCATGCCAGGACATCACCGAGGCGTTCCTCATCCAGGGATTGATGGACTTCCATCACATGAGGCAGAAGCTGGAAGAGTATGTCTTCCAACAACACATAACTGTAGAAGAAACATAGCCCAGCTCTCCCAGCCCCATGGATGTGGAGGTCACAGCAGAGGCAGCACCTGCCCTGCCTAGCACCTCTCCTGCCCCACAGACTTCCACAGACCGGGGAGATCCTGAGCCAGGTGCTGTAGGAGATCCAGGCACTGAAGCAGCAGCTGAAAGAAGTCTATTCCCTTCAGCAGTGGTTGGCTGTACAGGTAGAATCAGTAGTCACAGCCAAAATGGAAGAGAGCTCAGTGCCTGCCTCACACAGCCCCGCCAGCTGGGAGCCAGGGTCCCCAGGGAGCAGCCGGCTGCCCCCAGGAGATGTCCCTCCCGCTTCATGTGGGCACTGCGAGCACCACAGAGGCTGTTCCAGTGTCCCTGCCTGAGGCCACTTCCGGAGGAATAAAACAAGGAGACAAAGAAGATGAAGATGGTGATGAAGAAGGCAGTGAAGATGACTGCCTCAGTTTTGAAACAAATTTAAGAGAGGACACTCCACAAAGAATAGTCTCCTCCAAAGGGTTTCTACTGTCCCCCTCCACAAACAGAAAATGAATACCAGTGGAGGGAAGTGAAAAAAAACAAAATCAATAGTTAATTAACAACAGAATACCCACAGAACTCTCCCCCCTGCCCTACAAAGAGCCAAAAACTCCTGGAGAATGGGGTAAACATTGAAGAAATCCCCTTTCCTGACACGGGGTGTGAGATGGTGCCATCTTTCACACTGAGGGAAGTGGAGATTCCATGGATGAGTTCCGGCAGCAGGAGGCACAGCCCTGGTGGCTCTCTGGCACTGACCTCCTGTCCAGGGCAGTCCAAGCAGCTCGGCTGGAGTCTCTTGCTGTGCTTTCTCTGCCCGGCTCGGCTCCCCGAGGCTTGGGGCTGGAACGGGACGGCCCCACTCCTGCTGGTCCCACTCTGTGGTGTTGGAGCAGTGGCTGTTCAGTTCAGCTCAAGGAGCTGAAAGAAAGATTGCTGCTGCAGCTCCTCCAGGCCAGGGAAGGGAAAAGCTTTTTACAGGCCAAAAAAGCCAAGCAAGCCCAGCCAAACCCAACCGAGCCCAGAACATCTGGGCAGTGAGGCTTGGAAAATGCTCACCCAAAGAAGCCCAAAGCTCCCCCTTCCCCAGCCCCGCACACACCCGGCCCTGGGCCTGGAAGATGCAACAATTATTTCTTGGGCATAAAATAGAGGTTTCTGGAACAGACTCTCAGCATAAACCACTCCAAGACAACGGCAAAGAAGAAAAAGACAATGAAGATGAAGACGACAAAGAAGACAATGAAGAAAATTAAGATGACGAAGCAGATGAAGGCAAAGACAATGAAGATGAAGACTAAGAAGACGGAGAAGATGAAGAAGAATAATTTTAAAATACATATAAGAAGAGTAATAAGAATTTTAAAATGAAAGAAGGATATAAGGATAAGAATTTAAAAATACATAGGAGAAGTAACAGGAGTAAGAATTTAGAAACACATGGAAGAAACAGAGAAGAATAGTTAGAATAGCGAAGAAGAGTAAGAACAAGGAGAGTAAAAAAAAGAATACTTTAAAAAATGAAAAATTTAATTAAGAAGTAAAACCAGCAAATTTATTTTTATTACATATTGTATATTTATATTACAGTCTGTGATATAAAAACATGAATATACAACATGTTGTAATTATGATACATTATAATTTCCCAGAAAATAACTGAAGAAAGACAGAACAGTTCCAATTACTGATGAATTTGTGTATTTTCTAATAAAGTTTGTAAGACACAATAAAAGAGTCTCCAGATTTGATGTCCTGTCTGTGCGAGGTCCCCATGTATTCTGACGCTGGGTGCCAGTGAGTCCCCTGTGAGCAGGGACTGCTGAGCTCCAGTGGCAGCGGGAGAGTTCCCGGCTGGGCCGGCAGGGCAGGGCTGGCCCTGCTCTCTGCAGGCAAACGAAAAGCTCCCGTTAAGGCCGGCTGGGAAGCCTTTGCAGAAGGGCTGGGCAGCCGTGCCAGCCAAGCCAGCCCAGCCCCATGGCCAGGGAGCCGGGCTGGGTTAGGAAGGCAGCGCGAGTGGCTAAAGAGCAGCGGCTGCTCCTTCCCAGCCTTGCTGTGGCTGTAAAGGTGCTGCAAAGGCTCTTCCCACCATCCTCACTTGTGTTTTGCACACTAAACCTCCACCAGAAGGACCTTGAAGCGGACCCCATGGCTAAAGCCACGCACCCTCTACTCCCCTGTCCCTGCCCAGGGCCTGCTCAGCAGAAAGCAGCTGTGGAGTCACTTCTGGAGTCCATACAACTTCTACACTGACAGGACAGCTGGGGTTAGCAGGGGCCTTAAAGCTCGTGCAGTTCCAGCTGATTATCTCCTTCTCTGTGTCTCCCTCTCTCTGACACATTTCCTCTTTATTTCTCTCTCCATACCTCATACTTCCTGTGCAATCAAATCCATGCTGTTGAATAAAATCCCTCTGTTGATGTCCTATGGTCTCATTTTCCTCTTAATCAGGGCAAAGGCATCTCTCCCTCATCACATTGTGACACATGGGCAGGGACACCTTCCACTATCCCAGGTGTCTCTAAGCCCCAGTGTCCAACCTGGCCTGGGACACTTGAGTGATGGGGTGGCCGCAGCCTCTCTGGGCACCCTGTGCCAGAGCTTCCCCTCCCTCACAGAGAAGAATCACTTCCTGAAGAAAAACGTCTCAGAGTTCTGTCCCTGGAGCCAGGCTGTGTGTGTTCCTCACCGGTCCTGCCTGTCTTGAGCAGCCTTGTGCAAGGAATGCCCCAGCTCTGCTCCAGCTGAGGCAGCTCTGTGCTGCTCCTGACAGATCCCTGCTGGAGCAGCTGCTCAGGCCTTTGGTGCCCCCAAAGATCCCAGATGAGTGCACAGGCGGCTCTGGCCCAGCCCTGCAGCCCTGGGGCTGTGCTGCTCCTGCTGGGCAGCCCCTCAGGGCTCCATGCTCAGCAGCCGTGCATGGAGTCCACTATTGGCACCTCCAGCCTCAGGACTGCTCCAGGGCAGGAGGTTTCTACAGGATTTATTTTTACTTCTTCTGGGGTAACTTTCACAGAATTACAGAAGGTTGGAAAAGCCCTCCCAGCCCATGGAGGCCTTGTCAGAGGCCTTCCTTGGACACGTCCAGGGATGAGGACTCCAAACCTCTTTGGGCAGCCCCTTCCAATGCTTAACCATCCTTTCCATGAAGAAATTCCTGCTGATATCCAACTTGACCTTCCTCTGGCACAGGTTGAGGCTGTGTCCTCTCATCCTGTCACTTGTTGGCCAGGAAAACAGGCCAGTCGCCACCTGTCTGCACCCTCCTGTCAGGGAGCTGTGGAGAGCAATGAGGTCTCCCCTAAAACGTTCCTGTTTATTAACTCCCTTCTCTCCCTTTCTTTTTGAGCACAACCAACTTTCTCACTGAGTGAAGATCCCTTTGGGGCAGCAACTCCCATTTTTGTGCAGCTGTTCCAATGTCTCAATGGTAAAAAAATCACAAAAACTGGGGAATCTTTGCTGCTCTCACCACCTCCTCAAAGAGTAGCTATTTCTGTGGATTTGCTGATGACCCCAGAGCTAAGATCTCATTGTTCTCAGCAGAACCTTTGCAGCAGTCAGGAGTGCTGTCAAGCAAGGGATCACTGGATTTGCTTGGAGCAAAATGTGTTTTCTGGATTAACAGATCGACAGCATGAAACAGTGTAACTTCGCGCTTGTATTATCCACATGAATACCATCATTTATTTGTCTGTTTCTACTGATATTTCTTATCAAACAGACTCTTGGGATTCTGTCCAGAGAACCAGAGATGTTTCCCCTCAGCTAAACCAAGCCACCATCATTGACCTGCACCCATCCTCCACCTACAACATCCGCATGTACGCCAAGAACCGCATCGGCAAAAGCGAGGCCAGCAACGAGCTCACCATCACCACTGATGAAGCAGGTATGCCCTGGCTTTGAAACCTCTAAATTTTCTGGGAATTATCTCTCTTTGATGACAGGAATTGTTGCATGAAATGCTGTTTATGTGGCTGCAGCTGTATCAAAAGGAATACTGAGTTATTCCCATTGAACATTGTGACTTTTGCAACTTCATTGTGCAGGGTTGTAATTAAAGCTGTTCAGTGGCATCTAGTGGTCAAAGAAGACATTGTGCTCCAAATTTTCAGCTTGAGATTTTGGAATAACACACCTGTATCTACAGTGAGGCTACTCAATCAGCAACATCCTGTTTTTAGCAGTGGTGCTTACCCTGTGGGTATCGTGGCTTTCCTTACATGTTTATATATTAATGTACATAAATAATTTAAATTTCTCCCTTTTGAAATCAAGTCTTCCTTTGAATATTCCCTCACTCAACCCAACTTTAATTTGATTATTCCCTCACTCAACCCACCCACCATTTCTTTTTCTGGCCTCTGTTTGTCTCTTGGCTTTCACTTGTTAATGTCATCCCCCTGATCTTTGTTCTGTTGTACTACAGAATCACAGAATCATTTAAGTTGGACAAGACCTCCAAGATCATCAAGTCTGACCTTTATTTTTACCTTTAACCTTATATTATTCTGCATCAGCCCCAGGAGTACTGTGTGGGCATTTTCCCTCTGGTGGCTGGAGCCATTCTCATGTATATGGAATTTCTGCCTTATGATAAGTCAGCACTGCTTCCTTCCTGGGAGTTTAGAGACAACAGCATGGTGAAAGTGTCCCGGCAGTGAAAACTCCCCTTCTCTTTCAAGATTCATGTCGGTCTTGGATTTGAACACCCAGAGACTGATTTT